CATCTAAATTTAATTTCACATTCACCTTGTGACCACAACTCTCAAAGGGTAAATGTCATTTGATACACCTTTTGACGAAAAATATAGATTCTTACGTTATAGTACGCACACCGTAATATCACCAAATTACGTCGATATCATAACACAACACAAGAAAGAGTATTGAGAAAAATATATAGTATATGAAAACAGTGTGCAGATGAAACTATTAGACTTATATTTCGACCACACCCACACCCATCCTCAAATATAATGAGAGAAATTTTGATGGATCTTTGAACTATTATAATCGAGCAGCAAATATATTCAAAGAATTTCATGGTACTGATTATAGTCGAATAATTTTTAGCCTAAATTGGATTGCATTTCTTTATTATCAGAAACAATCGTATGATCGAGTACTTGAGTTTTATGAACAATAACTAAGAATTGATGAAACCAATTCTGTTTCAAAACGGCTAACTATTGATAAGTTTCTTATGAATTTAGGTGACATACAACGAATTCGTCTCGAGTATGAAAGTTCTCTAACATATGAACTAAACTGTTTGTTAATGCGTGAAAAAGTTCTACCGTCCAATCATCAAGATATTGGCAAAAGTTTAAATAATATAGGTTTATGTTATGAACATCTTAATGAACGTAAATTGGCACTTGATTATTATGGACGAGGATTAGCTGTTTATGAACAATGTTTATCAGCCACGGATGATCGATGGACTATACCATGCAAAATTGAGAAACTTTCTGTAGAAATGAATCAATTCAATATTTAAATCTTCAAAATATATTTAAAACATCGATAATAAAACACTATAGACATTAAGAACGAGGGTGTGGGTACTGTCTGTTCCTTTTTGTCTCTGTAACTGTATGTTAAAATTAGTATAAAATTGAAGAACGTCAATTGAGAACTTCTAGTCATAGTCTTCATAAGTTGGTTCATAAGTTTCAGCTATATACGTATAAATTACATACATCACTTGCTGTCACTTCACGACTGTATACTCGAAAGTCATCTACAGCACCTGCGAATGGGCCTGACAATATTTGATTACCTGGAACTGCAGAGCAGCTCACACAGCCGTTCAAACAACCACTTAGTGTCACGTAATTGACCCAAGTCGAAGCAGTCCGATAAGTTGCTGCTGCTATTGATCCAACCAACGCATTATTGATATACAGTCGAAGTCCATTTGTTGAACTCCACGTCTGAACAATGTGAGTAAATTCGATTAGTGACAGACTTGAATACGATATAGCTACATAACTAGTATTTGTCATCATTTGAACTATTAATGAACCGTTCGATGAGAAGCCAATAAAAGGAGCACATAAACCGGTGCCCGAACCATTGGTCGATACATGCACGATTGTGCCCGCAAGTAACTGTGGCTTCACCCACAGTGAAAAGCTGAATGGCTGATTGGCTATACCAAGAGCAAGAAAACCTGATGTTTGCAGGAATGAAGAGGAGGTACCCATGAATGATATAGCTTGTAGAGTTCGACCACTAACCAGACTATAATTTGACGCGTGAGATGCGACTGAGTTTGGTCCCAGATCAAGTAGTGGTGAACTTCCATCGAAGCTGAAACGAGCCGCCAGTGTAGCCTGCTCCAAAATTTCACACGCAGACTTTAGTCGACCACTAACGGACAGTTCGTCAATGTAACCCTGTAATCATCAAAACTATTCGTATTTTAATTCAGTTAAACTTAGCATTACAAAAAAAACTGAACTCATCCCTTCGTTCTCGTAAGCCTACAGGCTTTACAATACCTAATCGGATAAGTCATTCAAATTTTTTTGATGAAAACTCTTTGATGGCTACTTAAACTTAGTTTCTCACTGTTCTAAAAGAGATACGATAAATTTCTATGCTAAAATATTATTCTTCGATATAATATCATAAATGATCGAATGTTTTAATACAAACCTGCCATGTATTGATAGTCGGTACCAAAACAGGAAGATTACCAATTTGAAAGCTGCCACTAGTCGCTTTCAATCCTGAAGAGGTTGAGCCTCCTGATAGAAAAATTCCATTGCGGTAGACAGATAATGTTCTGTTTTTGCCATCATATACGAAAGCTGCATGCACCCAAATCTTGGTTGAAGTGGCTGGTGTATTGGTATTGACATCATCATTATAAAGACCAAAGTAAAGTGGGTAGCTCGAGCTGGTCAAACGAAGTGTCATATGTAGACATTGATCAGCTCCTGCTGTGGGACAAAGACCGCAGATACTTTGGTGTAATGTGTTAGTCAGACCAGTTGGATAAATCCAAGCATCTATGGAAAAGCTTATATTTGCCAAAGGGATGTATGAAGTCGATACCATTTGATTAGAATTAGCGACGAATGAAATGGCTTGACCAGCGTATCCTTGAACGAATGTAAGATTAGGACTACCTGATGCAACGCCATTATGCAAATTAAACTCATCAGCATAGTTGTTTTCAAAATGCCATTTACCCAAGATTGACGCATTAGATAACCAAGTTTGATTGAGACAAGTAACGGTACATGTGGGTAGAGTCGTTGTTGTAGCTTATAAATATAATCATCATTATTTAGATATATAGCATACCTTCGTACTCACATGTTGTCGTACTAGTCGTCGTAGTTGCTAGCAGTAGTATTATATTTTTCAGTACAGAATTTTATAATTTTGAAACTTACTTGTAGTTGTCTGCGTTGTTGTAGAAACTATGAATGATGATGGTCGTACGTTTCTTACTATACATAACACTACAATTTCGAAACTTACTTGAGACCGTTGTTGTTGTACTTGTTGTAGCTATTAATGTTAGTATTATATGTGGTGTATACAATTTTATAAGGTTGAAACTTACTTGTAGTTGTTGTTGTTGTTGTTGCTGCTGTTGTTTTTGTTGTTGTGGAAGCTGTGTCTAGTGATGATCAACGAATGCCATAGTAGAAAATATTGCGCTTTTGAAACATACCTGTAGTCGTGGTAATTGTAGTAGTTGTTGAGTCTGTAACTGTTAATTGCATTGTTATTTTCTTCGTGTGTACAGTATTGTAATCTTGAAACTTACCCGTGCTCATTGTTATTGTATCGGTTGTAGCTAGCAATGGTATAGGTATGTTATGTGTGCACAATACTGCGAGTTTTAAACTTACTTGCAGTTGTTGTTGTTGTTGTAGTTGTTGTAGAAGTTGTGTCTAGTGATGACCAATGAATATCATTGCAAACAATATTGCATTATTGGAACATACCTGTCGTCGTAGTAGTTGTCGTATCCGTAACTAGTAATCACATTATTATTTTTTAGCGTGTACACTACAATAACCTTGAAACTTACCCGTTGTGGACACTGCTGAAGTAGTTGTGACTAATGGAGACAATTTTCATTCGTATAATTAATAGAAAAACGTATCATCATAAGCTCTTAGAGTCAAAATGTGAAATATCTGTCGCTTGTATCTACAAATACTACACTACGAAGGATTTGTCTTTATGATGCATAAGTCACGAGTGGTTTACAGAACTTGTGCAAAGAGAACAACTGTGTCTACATGATGACTAGCTTAGATTTTCGATAGTTTACAACTCTCGGTATCTCATCAACCGAATTTAATCATTAGTCATTAATTTGTACATCAAATAATACGTGAAAAAATTTTAAATTGTAACAATAATAGGGAGTAAGCGGATTGATAGAGAACAGACCTGATATTGACGCTGTACTAGTTGTTGTTTGGCTGATCGTGGCAGTGACTATATAAATATATGCCTGATCTACATATCTCATAGGCAAATACCGTACCTGTGATAGTTGATACCACTATAGTAAAATAATATAATTATACTTGAGAATGCGAAAAATTATAGACTCACAGGTTGACGATGTCTTTTGTGAATGAGAATCCAGCAAAACTATCAGAAGTCCTGCAAGTCCAGCCAGTAGAATAACTGTTCCAATAATGGATAATAGAATGCAAAGTGGCGAACACAGGAAATAGCCGCAACATCTTCTTCTGAAAGAATACTTTAATCGAATACCAATAATAGAACAGAAAAAGACAAACTTGCGCCGATTTCGTTCCGTGTTTTTCGCTTGTTCAGGTGCATAGGTCCCTTTTGATTGATTTGGCCGTTCATTCATCTAATCAATGACCAATTCTTATTTGAAAAGTTCGTTTCGCATTGTTAGACTTACTGCAAAATCCATATACTTATCTTTTTTATCCTGAATAAAAAAATAGCTAAAATATTTTAACAATAAAAAAACCTCTTTTACATTGCCCTTTTTTGATTTGTAACGACTGCTCGATGCCAATGAACCTCTGTCGTTATCTATCGAATCTACAGTCGATCTCTCATGCGATGATGATACGGGTTGAGATGACGGTAATATTTGCGGGGTGACGTTTTTTCGCAATTGTTCGTTACTGATCTCATGTTGTTTGCTCTGTGCAAGATACGACTATAAGAGCAAAATCATTATCATATTCCTAGTTTCTATATGTAGTTCTATTTCATCCTATAACTCACCGAATTAGCTGTCGAATTTGTATCTTCTGTTTGTCTCTTGACTTTTTTGACAGTAACGACCTTTGGTGGATTGGCAGATATAGATCCAGTTACGCTCTCGTTTGTCACGCCCACTTGTGATGACGAATAACGTTGTCGTGAAACTATTGACACTCGAGAGATTGAATAAGAATGCCGTGTGTTATTGTGATTTATGCTCGTCAACTGCATAATACAAACAGATACATAATACTTTTTCTAAAAACTTACTGAGTTCTTTCTAACTCGACGAATAGTCGGTTTATTTGCTTCATTCGGAAATGAACTCCGTTTTCTCGAACCATTCACTGATTTTACTCGAATGACTGAAATTGCAGAGACTCGTGCAGCAAGCTCCGCCATTTCTAGTGAACCATGAAATGCTTTTCGTTGATCTACTCAGTTACTCTCTGATTAATATAGCTATAGAAATTGCTGATTGTTGAAACTACTTGGGCTTCTCATCATACTCGCAACTATTGTGCATTGTTTGATTTCTATTACTTTCATTATAATGATATTTTCCGTTTGTTGACTATCATGCTGAGAATAGAATTGCAAACATAATTATGCATTGCATATATCAATAATGTTTTTCTTATGGTTTCGAATGATTTTTTTTTGCAACATCGCATAGAAGGTAATGCAATGATCGATGAAGGAATATTATGAAAGGATAAGAATGTCACATTATTATTAATCCAAAAGAAACCAACCAAAAAATTCAATCACGATCATGCGACTAGCGATTGCCACTATGATGAGAATAAAGAGAAAAAAACAATACAATGATGTATTGGATGTAAAAAAAGATTAGAAAATTAGATGAAAATTAATTATAATGATAGCATTATAATCTGATTTTTTACATGGGTATTGTTTAAAAGATATCTGATATTGATAAATACAAAATGTTGCATTAACTTCTATTTCTTATGAAATAAAGAAAGGATTACTACTGACATGAAAATATCACAATCAGAACTGCGACACTTACATAAATTATTATATAAGATTATATAAATAAAGATTTAAATCTAACCGTTGTAAGAACTTTTAGATTTTGTTTAATCGAAATATTCTGATTTCATTCAAATTTGATTTCTGATGAAAGATGGTGAATATTTTCTGTCTTCGAAGTGTAAAATTACTTTTAATTTAAAATAAGTTTGACAACAATCATTTTCAATTCTTTCATTTGTCCAGAATTGATACTATAACTTATGAGAGCTCAATAGTGAGAAAAGACAATATGATCATACAATATATAAAGGGTGTGAGTGGATGTGAATATGAATTAATATAATTACCCACACCCTCAGTAAAATAAGCATTTAAACCGTAGGAGAAGTGGCCTCGGTCTCCTTACACTGTGTAAAGAGAACAAAAAAAATCATTTGCCACACCATCTAACATACACTATGGATAGAGCCCGTGTTGTTTAATTTTTACAATAACGACACTATAGTTTCAAAACGGAATATTGTAATGTTATCGTGATATGCGCAAGGTCTTTGTGCGTCACGATTACGCTCTATAGCGTTATACTAGCTGTGCTATTTTATTTACCTGAAAATTTATTTTTTAAAATGTATATTAATGCTGAAGAGTAAATTTACTCTTCTGTTTACTTCATTATTCACACTCTCTTTTTTGTGACTATATAAGCGCTTTATTTTCCTGGATATTTAAAAAAAGCAGAATGTTATTGGCGTTAGATATAAACTGAGGAATACATTAACAGAGTAAAATAAAATTTTTATATTTCAGTGTCAAGCAGTTTCTAATAAGACGAGTAAATAAGAATGTCATTGATTCAAATGTTTGTTTTCACGTGCATGAGTGATACTGGTAGCATTGTGATGTAGAGAGTGCAGAGATAGTTAGTAAGTTTGAGAACTTAAAGCACCCATTTGTGTATGTGCAGTATATAACATTACCGCTACTGTCAATAGCATAAAAACCAGCCACTACTTGTGAAGGAATAATCGTGTAATTACGACCCGCGATCGGTCCAGTGTTGATTTGACCAGCAATAATATTCACAAATACTAGCAAGCCGATCATTGAAGCAAAGAATAATGATTTAGCAATCATTTGTGTGAAATGGTGGTGAAATTATGAAAAGTTTGATAAATATCGATAGTGCTACTCCTTTATATAGGTCTTGAATGAATAGCCTCCTGCTGATTGTGGTCTGATTTTGAATGAATAGCCTCCTGCTGATTGTGCGCTGATCTAGAATGAATAATCTCCTGTTAGTTGTGCTCTGATTTGGAATAAAAAAGGAAGTCTGATTTTGAATGAATAGCCTCCTGCTGATTGTGCTATGATCTGGAATGAATAATCTCCTGCTAATTGTGCTCTGATTTGGAATGAAAAAGGAAGTCTGATTCATACGGATGACGCCTGTTTGACTGTCGACGAAAGTGGTATAATACTCTTTCCAAATGAGAACAAAACAGTTTAATTACACTCGTATAACTACGTCGTAATAACCATTCAAATTTACTTACAGTTCTCTTCATCATATTTACATGCATTTATAAATATGTAAAGTAGATGACGAAAATATTTGAAATATCATGATGTAATGAAAAACTTTTTTGAGTAGATCTTTAGTAACGGACTTACGAGATATGAAAAGAAGCAATGATATCATTAGGGTGTGAGTGCATCACTATAGAAACGAGACACCCACACCCTTTTGGTCTTTTGCGAAATTATCATACTTTGAAATATTTCTAGATGTTTATTTACATATTTTCGAATTAGTACATCATTCATTATTCTAGAAAATTCAATTTCTTTTGCTACAGTCACCCCTTCCACAAGGAGTTAAAAGTGAGAAGAACGTTTCAACAAGATTTAAATTACAATTCGTATAATCATTTAATAGATATTCTTTGTGAAAATAATTCTTATCAGATCCAATATTTTCGGTGATATTAAAGATTTTCGTCCGAGTTGATAAAAACTTAATTAAAAACACGAACAATAAATAATTCTTGACTGTAATCTAGCGAACTCTATAAATTACCGTAAAGCAGAATAAAATTGAATAAATCTATATAGAACGAGCTCTATACATTAGAGTTAGTTTGAACGAAAACGAAAAAATAGAATTTTGTTTTAAATCTTAAATTTTATATATCTTAATATTCGCAAATGAGAAGGTACGTTTTTTTCCTAGTAATTTCATCATCTTGCATCATTTTTGCTTACTACCTTTCGTTTTCTCGTGTTCGGTAGCTTTCGCAATAATCGACAAAAAAGAGCGAAAGAAAAAAAAGCAAATAGTGACAGCTTTTACGTAGGTGTTTCAGTCATATATTCATACCGTCACCCTCCTAGCGTCATATTCGAAGAGAGATAAGGAAGGCACTATATATTAAAAAAATATTTTATCATTATATAGAATAACAACTGAATTACTTTTCAAGTATAATATCTTTTCAAGATGATGACAATGTTGTTGGGCCCTGTGAAAGCAGGATTCGAAGTAATATGTGGTGATGAAGAAGGAGCAAGTAGAACAATGAATACGTTCTCCAAAATCAATCCTCTCGTTATGTCTCTTCGCGTTACTGCCGAAGTACTCTCAGGAAATTCAGACAATGCTAAAGATACAATCAAAACATTTGGTAGCAATGTTGGGAATATGGCATGTTCCATGCCTTTACTCGGTCATACGATAGCGGTCGGTTACAGAATCGCTGGCAAAGACGAAAAAGCTCGAAGAATTTTTGAACAAGCAACAAGAACAACGGTTCTTGCCGGTGCAGGTATCATCGGTTTTGGAGCTGGTCCAGAAGAAGCAGCAGCTTTTGCTATAATTGCTGGAGTTGGATGGGATCTGATCGATATTGCTAGAGGTAAGGAAGCAAATGGTATCGTAAAATTGGTCGAAATATTCAGCAGGGACAAAAAATTAACACCTGGTGAAATCTTCGACGCAGTCATGGTGCCTATCACTGATGGAATGACAGGTTATGCTGCAGCAAACGCCTATGGCAAATATACAAAAGCAAGAGAACAAAATCAAGTCAGACAAGAAGCACAAAAGACGAATGGTTCTGAAAAAACAAAACAATTCGAAGACCTATCATGGAAAATCAAAAAAACAAGGCACAAAGAATCCAGAAAAAATCGCCAACAGTATGTGTAAACAAGCAAAGGATTTAGAACAAATGGTGGCTGCTAATGAACGAAAACTATTTGAACTTGAACAAAAATTTTACGAACATCCTCCTCCTCCAAACGCTCATATCAATGGACATACTTCTGCTACAATGATCGATAAAGATGGAAATCAATCTACTGGCTATAGTAGAAGATTGACAGATGCACGTGGAACACCACGTTTTCAATCAGAAATATCAAAACTTGAACAAAACTATCCAAATGTGAAATCAGTGTTGAGTCGACCACTCAATGCTTGTGCTGAACATATGGCCTTTGAAAATATATCAAATCCCATCATTATTTATGCAATTCAAATAAAAAATGGTTTAGTATTCTGTGTTAAACGATGTGAAAATTGTGAACAATTTGATCTCAGAAATGTTATTACTGATTCAATGCATGGTACACCTGTTCCATTTCTAATTACTGAAGTACCACCACCTGGTTCTTATGTTAGAGCTATCGTATCTGACATCATTCTTATTAGTGTGGCAAATACAGAAAGAGAAGAACGACGATGAAAACTGTCGAACTATTTGATCTCCTTCAATATGTTGTGGTTTTTCTTATAACTTAATTTGCGAAAATAAAAGATTTAATCTCCATGAGAAAGAAGAAATAGCGTTTGCCAAACGATAGTGAAATGAAGATTGTTAGAGAGACTTCCGAATCATGTAAATCATTGCGAAAGGAAAGATGTCGGTGTGGGCAATTAAACAGTAATCACACCCACACCCACACCCACACCCTCAAGATTATATTTATCCATTACTCACATCAAAACCTAAATAGATACTGACATTTACACCCAGAACATCCGTGCCCGCATGGATACTCCTAAAGGCAGTAGGATAATACTATACATTTTCTCAGAGTTTTATAAAAAAAAGTGAGAAGAGGCTTTCGATCTCTTTTTTTTTACTTTTTCTCTCTGGAAAGCTAATAGTTTGAATATACTATCGGATATTGACTTGCATTCGAGCTAAAAAGTCGGTATCATGCAATATTCATTACATTGTAAATGTTAATACGTTTTATTATTTTATACACTGTGTTTTTCAAATAAAAAGGGAGATCAGAAGCTATTCTGGGACATATCACAACAACAACATAATAATTCGCATAAACAAGTCATACACGCGCAGGCCCCCAAACAAAGCATAATTTCTTGACAACAGGAACCCTGATTTCCGGACGTTTGTTGTCCGTAGTTTGAAGGCCTCATAGGCGTATTAGTAGTCCATGGAGAACCATTAGCCTGGTTTGGCTGATTGCCATAATAGTTTGGTTGATTAGGATAATTATTTCGCTGATTCGGAGGATAATTTGGTGGATTACCATAGTTATTTGGTTGATTGGGATAATTATTTCCCTGATTGGGAGGATAGTTTGGTTGATTACCATAATTATTTTGTTGATTGGGATAATTATTTCGCTGATTGGGATAATTATTTGGTGGATTACCAGAATTGTTTGATTGACTGGCATAATAGCTTGGTGGATCATCATAATTATAATTTGGATCTTGCTGTCTTGGTTGTGGAGTAGTCATGTTTAGATTCTTTCAACAAAACACTATGATGTACTTTTTTTATGCTTCAAGATGAAATGAATGTTATTCGACAACGCATACGACATGCTGCAACTGGCATAGCACTTTACAAACGTCGAAGATTGAAGCAGAAGAAGAAAAAAAAGTACATTTATTTGTTGAAAAAAAAATGCCATTCATCATGCACGAAAGAACGATTGCGACGAAAAATACCCACGCTTTAAGACAACATTATGCTGATACTCTTTCGATTCCTTTTGCTACAATAAAACTGCCCGACAACGAAAAAAAGAAAAGAAAAGAAAGAGAAGCAATGACAGCAAACAAAACAGGTATGAATAATTAAAGCAATATGATCGCATGTAAAGGCGTAGATGTGTTCTTTGTTGATATAAAGAGAATACTCTCATCTACACCTATCCACACCCACCCTCAAGATAACTGTCCTATTTTTCTCTCATTTTAGAAGATCTTCTTATGAATGGACGCTTATAAGATTTTGATATGTTCACTCTGGTATATAGAACAAGAATCTGCATTATCTATATTGAATTATTGCTCGATTGTTAGACCGACAGAACGAAAGCAAAATTCTTTTAAGTATGGATGAATGATGAATTTATCTTCGTATGAAACAAAGTGAAAAAGGAATAGAATTTGAATCTACTAATTATTGGAACTTAGCTATTGTATATCATAACCAATATGAAAATAAATTAACTTGATTATCTCAGTGAGTTACACTTCCTACTTACACATACTTCATGAGATGTCCAATTTGACTTATAATATAAATGAACATTCAGAAGACTCTTCTCATTTTCAAAGTAGATAATTAAACAAACTATCAATATATTGATTTATATCATTTATATAGACATTTCTAACAATGATAAATGGATTAAAAAAACTTTTCTTTTTTTTCTTTCCTCACCTACAGTAAGTTATTCATTTGTCACATTTATATAAGTTATAAATAGATTTCAAAAAAAAAACCTTCCTTTTTTTCTTTTTCTAACCTACAGTAAAGTGTTCAATTAACACAATTATATAAATGAGTAATCAATAAAAAGGAAATTTCTGTTTTGCTTTTACTAACCGACACACTAAAACAAAATGAGTATTTGTTATTATCGGAAAGTCTTTTCGGGTTTCTGAGCGATTCGGAAACGTTCCCGTGGTTTCCGAGTTATTCGGGAACGCTAAAAGAATTTCCGATAGTAACAAATAGCCATTTTTTTAGAGTGCACGAAAGTGTTCCATTAACACAATTATATAAATGAGTGATCGATAAAATAAGTTTTATAGGTATAAAATGCGCCGATGAATTTCTTTTTCCTTTCATTTATATGATAGGTCGAATTAGGCAAGTACTCACATACTTATGCTTTAGAAAAAGATTAAAAGAAAAGATTCTGAACACCATTATATTAGCGGACAAGGATGATATGTCAACATATACTTACATCAACGATTTTTCCCAAGTGTGTTGTTTTTTATCAGTAATATTACTCGTTTACTAGTTAATAAAGTTCGCTCAGCACAACTAAACGAGGTCTAAGCTTCTCAAAAGGAGTAAAGTGATATTGAGTAAGATCATCTTATATTGATCACTGAGCAAGTCAAAACAGTATCAGTTGTTGGAAGTATATTTATAAAACGATAATGAATAAAGGATGTATCAAGAGACTGATGTTATCTAAACACAGTAGTCCGTAGTAGTACTAATGCAACGGATGACAGAAAGAGTTGATTTTTATTCTAATTAAATATTAACAAAGAATAATATTACTTTTACGGAACTTTTGGAATACTAAAACATCGCTGAAAAAAATCTACTATTAACATGTTTAAAGGCGCTAAACAGGGACTGAGAGCATCATCGCTATGATTATCATACTTCTCGTTAGACTTTAGCTTTACGTATTACTAGAAGAAAGATTTTTCTTCGCTGAAAATCCGTGGATATTGACAATAAATAGCAAACCTAAATTTTTATTTTTCATTAGTCATAGTATTATAGCATATGAAATTAACCAATTATCACTAACTAATAGTTAGTGAGTAATAATGAGCATCATACACTTTCTATAAAATAGTTATGCAAGTTTTTTTATTTTAACCTATTTTTCATGATTGATGCAGAGCTAAAAATTGTTTTTAAGGAGCGTTTTTTTTGTAAGAAACGAAAAAGAGACGTTTCTAAGTGTTTTTTTTCTAGTCTACCTAAAGATAAACTGTGAAAAACAGTTAAAAAGAGGAAATTCTACAGACAAACGCTGTTTTCACCGTTTGATGTGCCGCTCTACCATTTCGTCCCGTGCATTATGTTTACTGCCTTTCTCTTTAAATTCATTCTGTCTTATATTCTATGTGCCTCTACAGTTTTTCCCTGCTCATTCCTAACTCTAGATTATAGGTGTGGATGTGGGTATTCTTGGCTTATCTAAAGAGAACACCCACATCCACCTTTATTCGATCGCTTATTCTTTTTGTTTTGGTGATATCATCGTTCTCACCTTTTGCAGATTTTTATAATAAATACTTGACACATTATTTTTTCTTTTCAGAATTAATATCACAGAGATACTTCCGAATGAAAATACTCGAGCGTTCGAACTCTTATTTGTGCTTGAGTTTCATAGTGTTATATTTTCTTCTGTTGCGAATCATTTCTTAACGTCAACATTTCAAGATAGATGTGAATACAAGCAATTTTCTTTTTTTCATCTTCTTCTTGTTACTTCCAACATGGTTAGCAAAATGAAGTTTCAGTGCTATATTATTCCTGTTACACAGCTGATGTAATAAAAAGAAATTAAAATTTTTCTTTGTATATGTATTTGCATTTTTTGCTTTATGATGCGATAAAATTAATATTTACATTATTGTTACGATCAGTCGCTGTTACAATACATCTTAGATCAGATTCATTTTCCGCGAAAAGAGTATTGTTGGATTTATTTCGAAGAACAATTAAATCATGCGCTATAAGAATGCGCAATTCAAATGGCGTACATTATGAGAGCATTTACATATGTCGTACTATTTCTTATAGGAAGAAAGTGATCTGATCTAAAAATATCGAAAATGATAACGCAATTAATCTTTCCAACATGTCCTATGACAATATCGTTAATTTTTCTTACTTAGCATTTACAGTATGATCGGATGAAAACCACCTGTTGTCAGCTCTCAGCAACGATTAAAGGCCGATTACTTATATGGGCCCTTAATACTTGATAGCAATATACATAGTTCCAAAGATCAGATGGGTTTACTACCGTTTTCATTGTTGTTCTATTCTTCTCATTTTTTAGTATCGAATTGCTCTAGAGTATAAAGTCGAATAAGGTTTCTACAATGTAATTTGTTTCATTTCATCAAACGATCCTTTTTATTCTATAGTAGAGTTTAATATTAGGTGCGAACGAGTAGGTCTATTTCATAGTATGAATTTGAATGTGAGCCTGCTCCTAAGAAAAGTATACCACCCACACCCATTCTTAATTGTCATAATTATATTCGATTTTAGATTTAAACAAAATTAAATTGTGGAAAAATAAAAGTTTTTGAGAATAATGAAACGCAAAGCGTCTTCAAGTCATAAAACGAAAAGAACGAAAGTCTCCGAAGACGAGTTTTCAGAAAAATCAAACGGCGATTGTACTGATTTGAAGAAAAAAGAAAATGAACTTCAAAAAAAGATTTCATTTGTTTGGCTCGATGCGAATATCAAAGAAAATGAGCGAATTCAGACAAGTATAAGACGATTGAAATTAATCGCACGATGCGCTCTTGCAACAGATAACTACGATGAATATGAACAATGGTTAGTGGCATGTAACAATAACGAAAATATTTTTCTTATTGTTTCTAATGACTTCAGTAAACAAATTATATCTAATATCCATTCATTATCATCCATCATTCGTATATATGTATACGGAATGAATCGTAATAGTAACAACAAATGGACTGATAACTATCCTAACATATGCAAGATTATTCCAGACATCAGCAAGTCAGTTGAAACGTTATTAGTAGATTTGGAGGATTTTAAAAGTAATCAAGATGTACATATAGAATCTAGATATGAAAAGATAACAAATACTGATATTGGATCGTGTTCCGAAAAACAAACAACAAAAAAGAAGAAACAAGGTACAAAAGGTAAGTACTCCTAATTTTAAGTATAACTATTGATTAGTAATGTTATTGTTTTTTTAAAAGGTGGCATCAACAACTTTCAGTTTATTCTCATCGATATAACGAAACATTTAAATAAATGCGCTTTTGATATGTTAACAACTCTGATCGCAATGGTAGCAAATGCGATCTTCATCTATGATGATAATTCAACTACTGATTTTGATCAGCTGCCTGATAAACCCACGTTTCTCATTATTAGCAGTTCTGTCGCTGCTAAAATGAAAAATAAACCTCAACAAACAAAAGCGACTTTTATTTTAGAAGAAGATAAAAACAAAGTCGATTATCGAGAACGATTCGGAAATGGCGAAGATCTAATTTTTGAACTAGCTGACGTAGTTTATCAATGTTACAAAAAAGAAGCAAATCAATGTTCATTATCTGGTGATATGAAGACGGCGAAAATTAAAGAAGAGCAAGCGAAACAAGTTCATAGTAATTTGAAAAGGGCATATATTTCAACATCAGACAATAACAGAATTATTCAAGGTCGGAAATAACTTCTCTTATTTCGTACATTAACACTTTTTTTTACAAGTGTAGAGATCACTATTTCATATAATGAAATAAATGTGTTGATAGATTTTCTTTTTTTTTATTAATCTTCTATAAATATTCTTATGCTAACGAATTTTTTTTGCATTGTATATTTTTCAATCAGTGTTGCTTGAATCTAAAGTAGCCCTGGATATCAATAACCAGATGAAAGATCAGATCGAAGCATTGGGTTTTTTTGCAATTCTAAAAAGTATAAAATAGTTTGTTATTTCCTTCATTATAGATGCAAAGTATCCACGATATTAGATTTGATAATGATTTATATGCGCCTACAACTCATTGGGCACTCTTACTTTACGAACAGAATGGAGTATCTTTGGCCGTCCCTCTACCAAATGCTAATCTCATGTCTTTCATCAAACCTTTTGATAATATCAAACAATGTCAGCATCATGTTGATACAAACCTTCAGAAACTGATTACATTATTTGCTTGGGATGATAACATACAACAATGGTTAGCAAATGCTAATGATGTACCAGCAAATCTTCAAGAAATCAAAATATTCTGCAATTCAGTTGATCGAACATATGTAAATGCATGCATGAGACGTTATATGCATCGACTTAGAAATGTCACAATCGAAATAATTAATTGTGATAAACTTAATTATGGATTGATGTTATTTGGAGTTGATCATTTGAAAAAGTTAGATGCAGATTTTCCGCCTAATTCAGTATTACAAAGACGGTTGCATAACAATTACAAACAAATCTGTCGTGCATTAGCCACTTACTTTTGGTACGAGGCAAACGCCGAATAATTCAAATAAAACTATCGACTATACGTAGACGTAGAAAATTCAAATATGCGAGCGATTCTATTATAAGTGCTCTCAGGAAAAGAAAAAAGAATGTTTTCAGTAATAATAAATTTTATTAATGAAAGGGATTTTGAGAGTGTGGGTGTGGTGTTGCTTAGATGAAGAAAAATTCACATCCATACCCTCACCCAGCTCCACACATTCTCCTCGTTCAAATGATTGTTTTTATGTCTTTGAAATCCATTGAACACACAAAATAAATTGTATCTATATCGAAAAACTCGGTGGATTCACTTATGCTTTCAAAGATCTTAGATCATTTTTGTTGACATCTATCAATGGATGATATTTATAATAAAAAACAGTTGAGTCATTGTTATTACTTATTTTTCAGAAAACATGAAAAGAACAGGAAACAAGCTGTTCACATTCATATGAATATGTGTTGTGACAGATTAGAAGAAAAGAAAAATATCATGTTCTGTCAGTTCTTTTTCTCTCGGAAAATAATGAGAAAAGAATGCACATATCGTTACTTTCAGTAGGTCTCTCTTGGGAAAGAAAGAAATAAAAAATATAGTGTTATATTTTCTTTTTGCAAATCATAAGAAAAAGAAAAGATAATTGAGTATTTCTGCTTGAAAAATGCACTGTAACGATAATATTAACTTAGAAATAGAAGAACCATTGGAAACACAAGTGGAAAAACCTGTTCACAAGAAAGGAAAAATGATTCGTTCGTGGTGTAAGCGTATCTTCACTCTTGATATTGTTTCAAACGAAAAGCATTATTTTCCAGTGTTCATCATCATTATATCTTTGTTACACGTTTCCATTCATCTGACAACATATATCAACATCTTATGGAGAGGTCAACGTTTTGCACATACATTACGTGATCTTTTGAGTTTTTTTTACCTTGTATGCGACCAACATCTGATGATAATCGCATGCGTAAAGCTAGTTTTGAACCAGCAACAGAAAATCATACAATTACCTACGATGAACATATGAAATACATCTGCTTCTCTTTTCTATATCCACATCAATTATGGCGAATGATAACTGTTAATTTAATTCACATGGGTTGGTTCCATTTATTATCTAATCTATCAAAACAACTAATGTATGGTATTCTACTCGAACGTAAATATGGTTCAGTTCGAGTAATTACTCTCTACTGGCTTTCGGAGTTCGGTGCAAGTTTAAATTCTATGTTGAGTGGTAGCCGTAATTGTAAGTGGTGTCAATTCTCGAATAATTTTAAATTTTGATTATGATTACTAAGATTACTTTTTGTTTTGCAGTTGGTGTCGGTTCTTCCGGTGCTATATTTGGTGTAATGTTATTCTTCATTGTGGAACGTTTTTCTGCAATGAAAAACAACGTCAACCATCGTATTTCTATACTTATACAATTAGTTCTTTTGGTTGTTTTGCCCATGACGATTAGTATTTGTCAAATTATTATTTTGAAAATCGATCCGGCACATTCAGCTCATTTGGGTGGTGGTTTAGTGGGTGTTCTATTTGGAATCGGTATGTTTGGTTGCCCATGTTTGTATAATAATGAACATAATTCCTGTCAAACAATATGTCGACGAACAGCATTTGGTGTTCTCTTTCTATACTTCGGTATAAGTTTAATAATTGTTTTTCGAACAAACGCACCATTTCTTGGCTCGTTCATGTCGACAAATCCTAGTTGAAAAATCAACTAGTTTTTTTTTGTAGTGTATATGTAGTAATCCAATTCTGATGTAATTATTTTATCAAAAATTTATAAATGAATCACTCATTAATATCCTATTAATAGAATACTGAAAGTAGTTTCAAGTTCGTCTTTTTTATTATTTGATCTTTGTTAAATAAAAAACTAATGAATGAAGAAACAAATTGTTTTCACGTTCTTCAGATTTTCTGATTACTGTTAATATATATTACAGAACAGAATACAAAATAAGACATCCTGTCAATTCTTTTTATCTCGACATTTAATAAAAAAAGAAAAGCGGAATATACATTTTCTACTTCGGTAAATATAGTATTATATTTCTTTTTTTTAAGTCATAAGAAAAAGAAAAGATTATTGAATATTTATACTTGAACAATGTATTATCTTCTGTTTATGATTTTCCATAAATTTTTATTCCTTATGCTGTACCCAATGCAATTTATTTATCTGACAACATACATCAACATTACTTGGAAAAATTAGCGTTTTTTATATGCGTTACATAGTCTCTCGAAGCTGTTTCTTCCATATGTGCGACCAACACCTATCGATATTCATCGGTATATTATTAATTGCGATGGGTGTGAGTCAGTCATCTCTTCACTTCACTAGTAGAATATGATTGTAACGCTATTTGTTCCTCATTTGATGTATTATCCTTATCGTTCTATCATTCTCTTTTAATGGATGGGTGTATAAGTGTATGCCTTGTATAGAAGCGATGCGATTTTTGATAACGAGAAGTATAATAAAGCGCAATACAATCACTACTAATGCTTCATCTATCATAAAATCATCTCAAGAATATTCCATCCTTAATATATAATGAAATTTTTTTAAACTATACAGATATAGAAAAAGATTAATTATTAAAATCCATTTATAGTAAAGATCTACTGCTTCATTGATCAGAAAGAAAATGATAATGAACAAGTTATGTTGCATCATCAACAATTTTTATTAGTAACTTTTATTCAATAAATATTCAACAATCATATTAGTAGATGAAACTTGTAGAAATATTTGTAAATTTTGAATTTCTTTAAATATATTATTGAAATAAATGAATTTTTTATTTGTTACATTGATATAAATGAAATACATATGAGATTAACAATCTACACGAATGAATATCATGCTAACAACATTATCATTTACAAGAATTCCATTGAAGACTAAATTAAATCATATTTATTAATATCTAATGTAGAAATTGAGTGTAGGTGTTAATAAAGGTAGCACATATTCGCTCTTAAAAAGTTGATTGGTTGTGATAATAGTATAAATTACTGATATCGTGAAGGTCAAATAGAGAAGACGGGATTAGATGAAGTAATATTATCTAAATAAGTAATTGTACGATTCGATGCCTTCATGTACCATGCACAGGTGAACAGTTTTCTGTAACGTCCATCGATACTTTACGGCTGGCATTGATAAGTTGAAAAACTAAATCAACTTGTTCGAAGCCGATCTTCATAAGAAAATTGGTATGTGTACCATAGCTCTTATTACCAACGATAAAAAAATTATTTTCCGTTGTCATTAAGCTGTTTGCACCGTGACTTATTTGCTGAAGACAGTCGTTGCCAATGGATGACAATAATTTGGCAGCCAACGCTATCGGACCCTTTGTGAGAGGACATTCATGCACGTTCATATTTGCATAGAGACTGCGATCGGGCTGCAAACCAGTATTGACAATGACATAGTCAATGTTGCGCAGAAGTCGAGAAGAAGAGGCTTCTAGCGTTACATCGACGGCAGTGGAAGATGCTATGGGAATAAATTGCGTCACAACCGTGTTCGTATAGATCTCGTTAAATGTGACGCCATCAGCATAGATTCGATTGGCTTCGTCGGCGAGATGACGCCGTTGTTCGAGTGGATCATTCGGATTGCTACAGTAAGGCAAATGATCGACCGATTGTTTAATAACCCAGAATAGTTGTGTTTCTGGATAACGCTTTTTAAGTTGACCTATGGAGAAACAATTAAAAGAGTTATACGCTGCTTGATTAGATAGAAGCGGGCTCCATTTTGATTTTGCCATGAGAGAAGGACACTATCCCCGTTTTTAAATTCTCAGACTTTCTCATCATGAATTCTGAGCACTACAATAATACTGAATAGAAACATTTCAGGGAAAAAACATTTTCTGTCGCATATCTACGTTTGCACAAACTCGATTTTGGAATCAGATATACGAAATGACAGAGGAGGACAAACAAGTTCATGAACGGAACAAGTAGCGGTTTAAGTCTTGAGAGGTAGATTGATTGGACTCTAGCTCAGGTTGATCAATCTGTCACAAAGTTTGGTTCATAAGTACGTTTTTTTTATACGAAATTGATTTTCTACTACCAGTTTTGCAAAATATCTCTAAAATGTAACACTAAGTTTATAGTTTCATATCGGTGTTAAATCGATATGTTGCAAATTTTATTTCCTTACATTCTGTACGAGAAATAAACTCAGAATAATAAAACACAAACTATCTACAAATTATCAAAACATGTGCTTACCTAAGAACACGGCCGACGTGGCCGCACTATGACCTTTGCCTATGAGAAGAATTCGTTTGCCGGCAAGATACTCATCGCGCTCATTGGGTATTCGGTAGCTGATAACTGGTGACGCTGTCATACGTAAGGTTCGTTCGCTGATGGCTGGTAACTTGCCAGGACCGGCAAAATTTGGACAGCCGTATGTGCCACTGGCATCGATGACGCAGTCCATACATATATATTCTTCGCTGTTGGTGTATCCATTTTCCACAAGAATAACGAATCCTTTGATGTGATGACGACCGACAGAAATGACTCGATGACGTAGCCGTATATTTGGTTGTAGGTGACAGCTGATGGGACGTAGATAGTGCTCGATGTACTCGTTACCGGTCAAATACGCACTAACATCATTGTTCGTCTCTACATGGGTCCGACCCAGCGGCGATATATTCATGTTCAATGGTGTAAACAATCGGACATGGGACCAGGAGCGTATATTGGTTGCAATATCGTCACCAGATTCAAATATAATAAATCGATAACCATATTGAAGCGCATGCAAACCACATTCGAGACCAATAGGACCACTACCAATGATACCGATGAGAAACGCGTCGCCGGAAGTCATGTTTACCTTTGAACGTTACCTACAATGATAAAGAATATAAAGCGGTAAAACTATTTTTTGTTATCTAACTTTTCCAGTTTTTATCTGTGTAGTTTGTGAAAAGAATTCGAAGATATTGTCTGATAGATTCTTATTCTGATCACAAATATATCTTTTGAATTGAAAATTGAGATCTGAGCTATACCGATAGTAAAGAGGTTCTTTTCAGAGTACTTGTATGTTTCTATTGAATATTCAATGAAACACGAGCTTTGAAAATCAGAAGAGAAGTGGGGTGAATCAACTTTATTCTATCACAACTAAAGGCAACAGACAACAGTGAAGAAGTGAAAGGGGAAAGAATGAATCTATTCACTGATTAACAATACACGAACAGAATAATTTATATATAATTGGAGAGGAAGAAGCGAAGAGAGATGATAAATACCATGACCTTATAAAACAGCCTATTCAACGTAAGGTTGCAGTATGAGTATGATATTAACATTATGTTTTGATTTTTGATTACAATGAGTCGTAATAAGAATTCGAATTTCAATGCTATGCAAATGTCCATTAAATTAAGTAAATAATTTTAAGAGGGAAAATAATTAGTCCAACATTACGCTCTACAGTAAATTCCCGTCACTTACGTGTTTGTTTGTTGTTTCTAGAATTTATTTATCTGTTTGGCGTAGAAGAGACGACCTGTTATTTTTCATTTTTCTCTTTTTTCTTGTTTCTTCTTCTTCGTTCTGCGCTCTACACATACACAAACAGCATTTTTCTTTCTTCTAATGCGTCGTCCTTCTGAGCGAGAAAAAAATATGCATCGGTCATTCTCCACCATACATATGCAAATAGTATTTTTCTTTCTTATAATGTATCGTCATTGCAAAGTATGAGTGTTGGTGTCGATGACGGTGTAGATATAAGTGAAGACGTCATTATCTACGTGCACACAACCGTCATCTGATTATTCAACTAAATCTTCTTGTATCATGTTACATATTAGAATTAAAAAGTTAATCTTCAAAGCAAACATACAAGAACTATTTCTTAACATTACTTAAGACTATATATTCAGACTTCATCATCAAGAACGAAACATAAATCGTAAAATGCACTTGATTCTCACTTGTCTTTTCGTTCTTTTCGTGACACCATTAATTCAAGGATGGCAGTGGCAGAAATGGACAGGAACATTCTCTACCGATGTATCACCATGTAATCGTAACGTTTGTTGTTGTCTATCGGAAAACATCGTGCTGACCTGGAGTCCGGGCACTCTTCATGCTGCTTTAAAATTTGCTGGTCAATGTGGATCTCTGACGAGTCTAGCGGTAACAACATCCTATCCTGCAGGCTTAACAACATCACTCTCGATTGGACCCGGTCAACCAACTCAGCTAACTCTTAGTTCAGATAGTCTGACTATCATAGGCACATCTCCCATCAGTCCTGTTTGCAATGGACGGGCTCGACGTATCAGTTGGTTACCTTGCTT